TCTTCTCTTTCTCTTGTCTTTTAACAGCTACAGGACAGAAAGGAGTTAAAGTGCCTGTCACACAAAGCAGCAAGACCTGAATCTCAGTCATTCGAGTGAACACTCAAGTGTGTCCTGTTTATGTGTGTGGCAGCCCGTGCCGTCGCGCGATTGGCTGTTTTCAAGAGAAGATGCAAGAAACCCAACAATCACGGCTCTTTCTGTGGCCTCAAACATCCAACAAGAAGTTTGATTTGATTGGGTGGGACTGTCTGTAAATTTGATTGGGACTGTCTGTAAATGAACACCTTAAACAAATTTGATGGTCACATCTCTGAAAGGCTTGGCCGATTTTCCTCATCCCGTGGAAAGTCAACAGTGGAAACATCACAAACGGACTTGAGTTACTTTAGTATTTTGAGTAATTACTGTATTTAATAAGAATTACAATCTCTAAACTCAACCCTCGCTTTTCACAACACTACACCTCTGTGTGTAAGTGGGTAGATGAGATTTTCCAGTGGCCTTTGTCATATCCTGTTTAGCCCCACGAATGTGTAACCAGCTTAACACTGAGATCTGACTTAAGCGAACGCTCAACTAAATCATGAAAACTGACATAAAATAACCAACAATCACATTATACATGAATGCTTCGGTGGACACAATCCCTTACGATTGAGCCTGAGCCCTAGGAAACATTCAGGGTGAATTCATTCAAAATGAACAGCGCCCTCTGATGGCGTCAGTTTTCACGCAATGCTTTGTTCACGGAAATCCAGTAGCGCCACAAAAATTTTCGCAATAAGCAATTTTGCTTGCAACGGTTTGCAGCAAACCTTAGGGCCGTTCATTTAGAACGTATTTTTGCAGTCCGTCTTCGATATTTTTTTAAGTGTTGTCCTCGTCATTGCTTCATATTTCGGTGTATTTTCAGAGATTCGCTCCACGAGAGCTGCAGTTTAAGATGCATCCAGACTGTGTCCCGTGTGAATGGCCGTGACCTCAATTTGTAATGCTTTGCTGGGACTGTACATTGGGATGCAACAAAAATAAAATTCTGGCCGATAATGAAAAGCGATAATTGTTGTCTAATTGTAATCGTATGTTATAACCGATAACCGATAAATGGATATAAATATTAAAATTCTATACTATTTTGTAATAATACATTAAAAATAAAACGCTAAAAACTGAATTTAGTCATTTTAAATGCTACAAGTGAATTTTAGGTGTCACAACATTCATAATGTACAGATGAAAAATGATTACATTTTTTTTTTTATTTACATTTACATCAAATTATTAGTATTTTTACAGAAGTTTAAGTGTTTAAGAAAATTAAATGTAAAAATGCAGAAAATGAGCTGCACACATAAATATCCAGTATTGATTAATAAAAAAAATAAATCAATATCGGCCGATACCTAATATGGAACCGATATATTATACATCCCTAACTGTAACTGAAGATCTGAATTAGAGATTTATATATTTGAATTGCATATAAAATTTCCATTTATTTGGATTACAATTTTAACTTAATTTGGGGTGCACATTTGTCAGTCGTACATAAAAGAACCATATTACAAGAGTTGTAATAGCACGAATAAACTGACAGTTTTAAAGACATAATAACCAGGTTTATATATTTATCATCAATAAATCCAATTTCTTTTAGTCTCATACATTTGAACTAACTGAATTATTGCTTGTTCCAAAAGTAGCCATATTTTAACCTTATTAACCATACATTTTAACTGAATAAATGTAATAGGTTTTGCAATAAACTATTTGAATAAATGCATTTTAATAATATACTTATTTAAATAAAATCAAACAGATGCAAATAATTAATATAAGCCATGCAATGATTTTTTGTTTCTCTTTATGTTTATGAATCTCTGACAAATATGCATCACATTACATTTATTAGTTTATGTTAAAACTCTGTAAACTAAATGAATGGAAATTTTAATGCACTTAAAATACATAAATCCTACATTTAAGCCTAAAGATTTTGCTGCATCGCTTCACCACGGCAATCCACTCATCTGAATCAGGAGAAAATGCTTCATCTCTGGATAGAAACACGATTTTAATGATCTCCATCATCATTTGATGAAATACTGCCTTTCAAATCCCTTTTAAATAAAATCCAGTTTACCTGCTTTCCATAGATGGCAATAAATGGCTACGATAAATGCGCCGACCACATGCTACAGTTAATCTGGCACATTCTGTAGAAAGAAGCTATGTTTACAAGGTAACAAGGACTTACTTTGAATGTGCATGGCACAATGTCCAACCAGCTCATGTAGAACCTGAATTAACTGGATTCTCTGCGCAGCGGTGAAATCTGCTAGCTGTGTGCTAAAGTGATTTCACCCCTCAGTTTTCAGATAATAATTTCGAATTTGCAATCCGCAGAATGTATGCTCTGTAACAAAATGTCAAAACAGGGTGTTTGTGACCTTTTGAAATACTGCTGCATGCTATCTTGGCTTTAAAGGGTTTTTCTACAGAGATGCACTTACCTGAGAGCTGACAATCTCCTTCCTGCCTCAGAGAGGCGCTGTACAGCAGAAGAGATCAGTAATGAGGCTCTCGAACACACAACAGCCTCATTCTATCAGGTGTCCACACATGCACTAACCTAGTGCCTACATCTCCCAGAGGGCATTGCAAGTTCATCAGGTGCTTCTAAGAGGCTATGTTCAGAATGGAATACTAGCATACTACACAGTATACACTCTGCACTGCTTATTTAAAACGAGTATGCGACAGTTTGCAAAGCTAAATGGTTAAATTTTCAAATGAACTCATGCCAACAACAAAAATTAAGGATTTTTTTTTTTATTCAGGTTTGTGTAAAAATTTATATGAAATATGAATACAAATATATTTTAACATTTGTAAATATATTAAAATGCACCTAGTATTACTTCGTCTCTCTGGAAACAGAAGGTCAAGCACAATGCATTGTGGGTCGTATACTGCAAATTTTGGCAAATGCAGGTCATCCAGGTATTCCATGCAAACTTTTGCACAGTATACATACTGTATATTGCAGAAAACAGTAAGAGAGAAGTGTGCTATTCTGAACGTAGTCACAATCTGAGAACCTGAGATTTCATGCAAACACGAAACGGCACAGAACAGATTTCCCAGCGTACTATGACCTAGGGAGTGTAGTATTGAGCTGTTCTGTGCTGAGTGCCATAGACGGCCAGAGAAGTAAAAGAGTAAAGCACTTTATCATAGAATGTGTGATGTTTGAATGAGAAGCTACCGAAAGAAATGCGTTGTGCTGTGTAACGGTATGAAACTTAAATCAACTGAGAACAAAAACATGTTTGCTTAACCTTTCTGAGTTTTGCAGTATTTAATTAAAATATGTCAGATTTTGTACAGTTGACCGCTGTGGTGTTTTTCTTTTCGGCTTTGATACAACTGTATTTGGGTCATTATTCTGCTTAATAGTAACTCTGTTTGTTTCTTTTTAAATAGTTGAATAGTAATAATTTATTAAGTCACAATAATTTAATTTAAGTCACATTTTTAATTTTTAAAAATGTAATTGCTGTCTGTGTTGTTATATGTTATTATTACAATAATCTTTGTGAATAAAATAATATATGTTAATTAAAATTAAAGCAAAAAAATCGAATATAAAAACTTAGAAAATTAGAAATATTGCCTTGGATAACAAATAAAGCTACATATAAATAAAAAAAACTAAATGAACTTTTCCACGAGATTCTAATTTATTGAGATGCACCTGTATATAGTGTGTGTGTGTGTGTGTGAGTGTGTTGAATTTTGAGTTTAAGAAGCAAAAAGTTCTAACGAGTCTAATAATCTATTGAGGCCTAATAGTCCTTAATTTATTTTTTTAATTCTAATAATATAAAAGCAATATTTTGATTTTATAAAAAGTGTGTTTCCATTACACACTGTAAAACGTCACTCAAAAATGTAAGTAGCCTGTTGATTATAACCAGTAGCAAGTCATTGGAACTGGGACTGATTACTGAGAATGACAATTTATTTGTGTCTATGTGAATATGAGAAAAACAAATCAATATATCAGTCTTAGGACAAACATGTGACCTACTAGTACTTGATCTTTACTCTAGCATACTGGCCTGATGATGTTGATAAGCAGTGGTATTTTCAAAGAGGAAGCTGGTTCTAGATTAGTGTTGTCTTGCGTTCCTCAGCAGCAGGAGAGATATTAGTCCTGGAATGTGTTGACAAACAGGAAGTGTTTTTCCTTATCCGGCCGGCGCTCTGATTGAGTGCAAGCTCCCGCTCATTCATCATCTCCACTGTTTGTGAATGCGGCCTTTGCTCTTGGATCTGTCTCAGATTACTGTAGCGGTTTGTTTAGTGCTCTCAGACTGACCTCCAACCAAACCAGGCTGACCTGGGTTAACATGTCTGGAGAGATAAATACAACACAAACACAGGGACACAATGACATTTGCCTCCAGATAAACAAAAACGTCATCATAGTCAATCATAGTAACTTTCATATTCGTCAAATTCTTTTAAAGTTTAAGAATTATTTTACATTCAGTTGTTTTACATTGAAAATAATAATACGTTTGGGGTTTTGTGCACTTGCATATTAATTGGTCTCAAACATCTTTGTGTTGTCATTAGTTATACCTAAATGAGTGGAATACAATGAAATGTATACACATTCAAATGAATGTGTTATGTGTGAGTGTGTTGGGTTATAAGAAATGATTTTAAAAAAAAAAAAAAAAAGAGTTATCTGTTTTTGCAAATAAACTCTTCATATATATATATATATATATATATATAAACACTCAGACATAACACATTCATTTTAATGTGTATATCTCATTGTATTCCACTCATTATATATATAAAGTGCCGTGAAAAGTAATAAATAATATATAATAATACAAATTATTATAAAACGTTACTACAACTTAAAATGCAATAATAATAATAATAAGAGTAGTAGTAGTAGTAGCAGTAATAACAACAATAAAAGTAATGCATGTATATATTTAAGAAAAATATCATCAAACAAATTTTTATATTACACAAAGATAATGCAAGTAAATACAAAATGCAGCTTTTAAACGATGATTTCATTTATTCACACAGTAAAAATAAGTAAGTACTGTAGAAAATAATAAATAATAATACAAATTATTATAAAACGTTACTACAACTTAAAATGCAATAATAATAATAATAAGAGTAGTAGTAGTAGTAGCAGTAATAACAACAATAAAAGTAATGCATGTATATATTTAAGAAAAATATGTTCTATTTACATATATATAAAATATTTATTTTAATAGAAAATAATTTATATAAATTGTAAAACATTAGTACAACTTACAATTTAATAATAAATATAATAATAACAACCACAATAATGTATGTATATACTCAAGCAAAATGTTATATTTATATATAAAATATTTATTTTAAGAAAATAATTTGTATTAATTATATATATA